CATTTTTTAGAGTGTAATATGAACCTCTTTGCACAGTTTAATTGGGAAACAGCACAATGCAATGTGTCCTTTTTTCATAGATACTCCAACAAGTGTACGATCTCCAGAGAGGGAAATAATCTGCGTTTCCCTTAAAAAGGATCCCAAAGTTGGCCTTGGTAAATGGATTCTGGATATAGACTCGATGTAACTAACTGTTATGCAGAATAGTAATTCACTCTTTATTCATTTCGGCTCTAGGTATTGTAATTGTCGGAGAAGACAATGCTGGGAAAATGGACCTCGGGATCTTCATCGCATCCATAGTACCTGGAGGCCCAGCTGACCGAGATGGACACATCAAACCAGGTGAATCCTCACGATCATCCGATTATCTGCACTGATAATGTCCAGTCATGATCTCAGAAGCCTCTGTGTGAACATCAGTGAAGCTGAGCTCCGTGTTTCTGTCAGGTGGTCGACTGATCTCTCTGAACCAGCTCAGTCTGGAGGGCGTGTCCTTCAGCGAGGCCGCTGACATCATGCAGAGCAGCTCCAGTGAGGTGGAGCTCATCGTCTCACAGCCAAAAGGTACCATCTTGCTTTATATATTCCACTGCACATGTGATATAACATCAGCACTCTCTAAAAACAAATGGTTTGGGTTATTATAGTTAACTAAGGGTACGTTTACATGACAACGATGTACTGAAAACTGAAAAGTTTTTCCTTTGCATTTTTGAAAATGTGATGTCACAATGATCCTTGTTTACACAGATCAGCGAAAACAACAAAAAACGCTGTATTAAGCATGCCAGGCCAGTAGTTGGCGATGCCATTTTGTTAAAGGGGACATGAGATGCCCATTTTCCACAAGTTGGTGTGATTCTTTAGGGTCTTCATGAAATGTCTGCAACATACTTTGGTTAAAATTCCTCAATGGTCGTGTAAAACAACACCCTTTTTACCATGTCTCTGTTCACAGTGACCTGTTTCGGTGCATGTCTCTTTAAATGCTAATGAGCTCTGCTCACCCCGCCCCTCTCTTCCGTGGAAGAGGAAAGGCGATTTGCAAATAATCATAAAAATATAAAGTGTGGGACTTACTTCTTCTGGAGGTGTTTTTTTCAGTAAAAGTAATCCACTGCGTCTTCAGAGGCTCAGATGTCGGGAGTAAGATGACTGCTATGTTCATTATTACATCCAAAAACAAAATACATCAATCGCTTAGGAGACGTTCTTGTCTACACCTGCGGTGGCGGCGAAACAATGTCGGACTGTTTACAGCTCACTCAGGGCGGGTCTATGCTAAAACAGCAGTGTCCGTCAACAGTCGTGGGAGGGGCTTGTGCAAAGTGACGTCTCTTTGCCAATATCTGTGAACGGCTTGCTCTGAGAAAGTGCTTATGATTAGTGAGGATTTAAAAACAAGTACTGGGTGGATTTTTATCATTGGAGGGTGGTTGTGTACACACACTGCCAACATACATTTAAGTTCAAACACCATGTAAAAGTGAATTTGCATCCGATGTCCCCTTTAAGAAACACTACACGCCTGCGCGCATACCTGAACAATACGCATGTGCATGACGTCACCGTTTTCACAAATTTGTGAAATTTTTAACGATAACAGTATCGCTTTCAAAAACTTGCACTTTGAAACCAGTTTGCGTTTTCAGGCCCCCAAAACGCCATTGTCATGTAAATGCTTTCAGTTTTTAGTTAAAATCGGTGTTGTGTAAACGCCCCCTAAAGCTAAAATCATAAAAACATTAACGCTACTTGAAACAAAATAAACGTTATTTCAACTAGTTGCCAAAGCAACATTTCTCATTTTTATGTAGTTTAGCTTGATTTACTAAAATAACCAAAACTAAAACTGAAACATTTTTTTTTTAATTATTAGACAATAATGGTGATGCAGCCACGACGCAAAGCAGGAACTACTTCAGCTGTGCGTTTCCCTGAAAATAATTGCACACGTTAGAACGTTCGTCAGCCAATCAGATTCAAGCATTCAACGGCCCTGTTAAACAACGTTTAAAAAACTAAAAACTAATTAAATGACAAAGACACACAACAAAATGACTAAAACTTTAACTAAAATTAAAATTAAAGCGGAAAATACAAAAATAAAAATGATTTAAAAAATATTAAACAAAACTATAATAGTATCTTAGTTATACTAAAATACCATTGGGCTCAACAACAACAACAAAAATGAACAGTTTGCATCAATCTTTTTAAGTTTGACAACTGATGAAATTAACCAACAAACTGAGTTAGAGGAACTAAATTTGTAGCATAAACACACATTTTTAAGTTGATTTCTCATATAAATGAAGTTGTTCCAACCAGTTTCAACATAATTGTGTGGTGGCTCTGTAGAACCAGTTCATCTTATCTATATCAGTTCAAATAAACGGCTAGCGCAGCACATGATAAAAGTTACTAATTTAACGTACATTTACCTGAACAAGCAAAATATCACTGTCATTGCTCGTTAAGTGTAGTGTATATCTACAAAAACGTCAAACTCTTTTAAATGACAAATATAACATTAAGTACTATAGCAGGTCTTTCCCTTCACTAAAAAACACATAAAATAACACATCATTTCAACATTTATTCTCCTTATCCAGTCCTATGCAAAGCATGCTGGGAACTAGAAATCCACTTCCTAGTTTTTTAAGTTATGAAATTTAGACAACCTTAGCAAGCAAGAAAACTAACTTCAAGTTAATTATATTAAAGCTGAAAAAAGAGAGTAAAGTTCAAGTATACTTTCTAAGTACACCTGTGTAGTAATATCAGTGTACTAGCAGTATACTTATATTTGTACTATTTCACTTCTTGGGACTAAAATGGCCCACTATTTACTTTATAAAAGTATACTAGTGTAACTAGTTTACATCTGAGTGTTTCTTTAGTGTTGCAACTATACTACTACAAAATATAGGCTACTTTGGGTTTGAAGTAAATAACTAGTAAACTATAGTATTCCTGCAAGTTCACTTGAGGCATATTTGGGATGCTTCCGAAATTAAAAACTAGTTTTGTACTGTACGTTTACTGCGCTTAAAGTACACTTAAAAGTATACTTTTATAAACTAAAAAGTGGGCCAGTTTACTTCCAAGAAGTACTACAAGTACTGCCTTGTTACTTTAAATGTAAGGTTATAAGATAGTATGTAAAAACCAGTATGTGTGAAACATGTATTAATATGCTACTCTATCAAAAAAAGTAAACACAACCACAAGCCTAGTATACTTAGAATACTTGATTGTTATTTTCTTAAGTACAAGCATTGGCCAAATATACTTGGACTTTTCTGTATGTCAGTACAAGTTTAAGTATATCACTGATTAGACTGAAAGCATATTCTCTTATTTTCAGTTTAAAAGAAGTATACTTTTTTTTTTTAGCAATACCAGTAATATTTACACAGACAAAACTTGAGGTTACAGTAGCTGTTGGACGTCGTCCACAAGGTCAGTGTATCACAGAAGGTCAAAGAGAATCAGCAGCCAAAGGGCAAAGAGGAAGAGCGGTCACATGACTACAGCTATGAGCGTGTGGAAGCGGGACTCACATCCTAAAAACAGGCTGCGGCTTACCTCTCTAAATGGGGTTAAGCAGCTTGAGAGGCATTCAGACTAAATGTCACCGAGTTTAGAAGACAGTACCATCAGACCGGAAAACCAACACTGAATGCATTATTCTGTGCTGAAAAGAACAGAATATTATACTTTAAGTCTGAACTGAATGTAATGTTTTCTGACACTTGATTGCATTAAATTAAAAGAAAATGTATTATAGTTTAAATTCTATTAAATGCATTTTCTATAAGAGTATTTTTTGACCCACTTAATAGGACTTCTCTACAGTTCTATATGTAATTTCATAATTACTTCTATTGTCTTTGAAATATAGTTAAAGTGTCCTGTCGAATGTACTGACAAGCATTTATGCTAAACAAAATACACTTTAATGTCATTTGTATTAAAATCATGTATTTAAATATATTTTAATTACACATTTATAATGATGAAATTGCTGTTTAGTTGTAATATCAAATAACACACTACCGTTAAAATTAATCAAGTACTTTACATGTGCTTTAGAATGTTAATCAACAAGTGTACTTCTTTAAAGTACGACAAAATAAACTATTAAAACATAATGATTTGAATTTACTTTGAAGTAAAACTTTTAATTTGACATTGTTCCAAAGTGCACTCTTTAATGTAAGTATACTAAGTGTCGTGAAAGCATACTCTCTTTGAGTACATTAAAGTGGCCTTTTATTTCATTAATATTGTATTATCTACAAGTAGTTAAAAAAAACACACTTTTAAGATTTGAAGTACAGTACAAGTGCACATTCAATACAATTAAGCACACTTCTTTCCACAAGGGGTTCTTTCTTATTAAAAATGTTGACTACTGTTGTATATTGTATAAATATTGTATAAGTTGATGTGTGAATGCACAGGGAGGAGTGAACACAGGTCTCCGTTATGGAGGTATTTACATCAAGAGTCTGGTCCCTGGTGGAGCGGCTGAACAAGACGGACGTATCCAGACAGGTACGTGTTACACTGCTATCAATGGGTTAAACTGAGATTTAGTGCACTCATCCTTTCCCTTCAGTTCAGTAAATTGTTGCGAGAATGTGTCGGTTTGGTCACTTGTGACGATTAGGGAATGATGATAGTGTGTGTGTGTGTGTGTGTGTGTGTGTGTGTGTGTCTCTGTGTGTGTGTGTGTGTGTGTGTGTGTGTCTCTGTGTGTGTCCAATCAGTATAATCAAACACAGCTTGACTCAAATGAAGGTGTAGAACCATCTCCAGGATGATCAGAAGAAATGGACAGCACCTGCGTTAAATATATGAGTGTCACAGCAAAGGGTCTGAATACTTAGGACCATGTGATATTTCAGTTTTTCTTTTTTAATAAATCTGCAAAAATGTCAACAATTCTGTGTTTTTCTGTCAATATGGGGTGCTGTGTGTACATTAATGAGGAAAAAAATAAACTTAAATGATTTTAGCAAATGGCTGCAATATAACAAAGAGTGAAAAATTTAAGGGGGTCTGAATACTTTCCGTACCCACTGTATATATATGTTCAGAAATTTAGACAACCTTAGCAAGCAAGAAAACTAACTTCAAGTTAATTATATTAAAGCTGAAAAAAGAGAGTAAAGTTCAAGTATACTTTCTAAGTACACCTGTGTAGTAATATCAGTGTACTAGCAGTATACTTATATTTGTACTATTTCACTTCTTGGGACTAAAATGGCCCACTATTTACTTTATAAAAGTATACTAGTGTAACTAGTTTACATCTGAGTGTTTCTTTAGTGTTGCAACTATACTACTACAAAATATAGGCTACTTTGGGTTTGAAGTAAATAACTAGTAAACTATAGTATTCCTGCAAGTTCACTTGAGGCATATTTGGGATGCTTCCGAAATTAAAAACTAGTTTTGTACTGTACGTTTACTGCGCTTAAAGTACACTTAAAAGTATACTTTTATAAACTAAAAAGTGGGCCAGTTTACTTCCAAGAAGTACTACAAGTACTGCCTTGTTACTTTAAATGTAAGGTTATAAGATAGTATGTAAAAACCAGTATGTGTGAAACATGTATTAATATGCTACTCTATCAAAAAAAGTAAACACAACCACAAGCCTAGTATACTTAGAATACTTGATTGTTATTTTCTTAAGTACAAGCATTGGCCAAATATACTTGGACTTTTCTGTATGTCAGTACAAGTTTAAGTATATCACTGATTAGACTGAAAGCATATTCTCTTATTTTCAGTTTAAAAGAAGTATACTTTTTTTTTTTAGCAATACCAGTAATATTTACACAGACAAAACTTGAGGTTACAGTAGCTGTTGGACGCCGTCCACAAGGTCAGTGTATCACAGAAGGTCAAAGAGAATCAGCAGCCAAAGGGCAAAGAGGAAGAGCGGTCACATGACTACAGCTATGAGCGTGTGGAAGCGGGACTCACATCCTAAAAACAGGCTGCGGCTTACCTCTCTAAATGGGGTTAAGCAGCTTGAGAGGCATTCAGACTAAATGTCACCGAGTTTAGAAGACAGTACCATCAGACCGGAAAACCAACACTGAATGCATTATTCTGTGCTGAAAAGAACAGAATATTATACTTTAAGTCTGAACTGAATGTAATGTGTCCTGACACTTGATTGCATTAAATTAAAAGAAAATGTATTATAGTTTAAATTCTATTAAATGCATTTCTATAAGAGTATTTTTTGACCCACTTAATAGGACTTCTCTACAGTTCTATATGTAATTTCATAATTACTTCTATTGTCTTTGAAATATAGTTAAAGTGTCCTGTCGAATGTACTGACAAGCATTTATGCTAAACAAAATACACTTTAATGTCATTTGTATTAAAATCATGTATTTAAATATATTTTAATTACACATTTATAATGATGAAATTGCTGTTTAGTTGTAATATCAAATAACACACTACAGTTAAAATTAATCAAGTACTTTACATGTGCTTTAGAATGTTAATCAACAAGTGTACTTCTTTAAAGTACGACAAAATAAACTATTAAAACATAATGATTTGAATTTACTTTGAAGTAAAACTTTTAATTTGACATTGTTCCAAAGTGCACTCTTTAATGTAAGTATACTAAGTGTCGTGAAAGCATACTCTCTTTGAGTACATTAAAGTGGCCTTTTATTTCATTAATATTGTATTATCTACAAGTAGTTAAAAAAAAACACACTTTTAAGATTTGAAGTACAGTACAAGTGCACATTCAATACAATTAAGCACACTTCTTTCCACAAGGGGTTCTTTCTTATTAAAAATGTTGACTACTGTTGTATATTGTATAAATATTGTATAAGTTGATGTGTGAATGCACAGGGAGGAGTGAACACAGGTCTCCGTTATGGAGGTATTTACATCAAGAGTCTGGTCCCTGGTGGAGCGGCTGAACAAGACGGACGTATCCAGACAGGTACGTGTTACACTGCTATCAATGGGTTAAACTGAGATTTAGTGCACTCATCCTTTCCCTTCAGTTCAGTAAATTGTTGCGAGAATGTGTCGGTTTGGTCACTTGTGACGATTAGGGAATGATGATAGTGTGTGTGTGTGTGTGTGTGTGTGTGTGTGTGTCAGGGGACAGACTGCTGGAAGTGGACGGCACCAGACTGCAGGGATTCACAGATCAGCAGGCGGCTGAATGTTTGGCAAGAACAGGAGAGGTAATCTCTCTCTCTCTCTCTCTCTCTTTCTCTCTCTCTATCATGGTAACTACACACTAGTCCCATCTTTACATAATCAGCTGTAATCACTGCTTGCTTCTAGCAATTCGATTATTGCGTACTGAACTTAGATTTTGTCTACTTTAAATCAGAAAATAAGGTTTCATTTTTGATACATTTCTAAGGCCTCTAAAATGATTAAAACGTATCTAACAATCTGCTCCATGCCTTCTGACATCTAATTGATAGTTTAGACTTTTTTATCAAGTAAAAGGCCTTTTAGTATAATTATAGAAACGTCCACCTTCAGCTCGTGCTTCTCGTGTCTTTTTTGCTGTCAAATCTTTACTGATGTTTATAAAGTAAAGATAAGAATAACTTTTACTTTGTTAGTGATATTTAAAGATGAACACTTACTGGATTGAAGGTTTACTTGATTTTTCTAAAAAATGAAATTCAAATGCGAGTCTCAAATATGACCGTCAGGCTTTTGAGGAACGTTTATTTGTTCACCTCTCAATCATCATTGATTGTTGCATTGCATCATATGTTTTGATCATAAAACTAAGCATTTAAATATCATCTTACTAAGACATTATTGGCAGATAATTTTATGTAAGTAGCTGTTATTTTGTTATAAAGATCCCGTTGATTTACATTAAAAGCATCAGAATTTCATCTTAATTTTTGGCCTATAAATGCCAACATCAAATATCACCAAATGGTATATTTTTGCTCAGTCTGGGCCTTTTTTTCCTCCTCAAATATGAGCTCCATGTTCTCACTAAATGAGCCATAGAAGTCTGATGCATCAAATAAAAAGAAAGGATATTTCTAAGTATTATTTCAAATGTCATGCTTCAGCTGAAGTGATGTTAGTGCTAATATCTGAACGCTGTCAGGTGGTGAGTCTGGTGCTGGAGCGGGACGGAGGCTCTGTGCTGCAGCGAGACCCTGTAAACGCACTCACCATCCGCACACCTAGTCCTGCAGAGACACCGATGAGGAACAGCTGCCCTGCCATCACCATGACCAGACCCTTCGGCCTCAAGTCCAGAGACTACAGCTTCGTGTCGCACGGTAATGAGAAGATGCAGTGAGAGTTTGTTTAGAAAAGCACCATGCACTGCAGAACTCACTAGCAGCTTTGGATGAATGTTGTTTAGGTGCAGGTGATAAATTATACATTCAGGTGTGAGAAGTGTCTTTGCATCCTTCAAAAAACATTCAAATGACCATACAAACTGTTAAATGGCATGGGAACATGCAGAGGTCTTAATGGATTACTGCAAACATAAGATTCATCTTCAAAACACAAATGAAGATTTTTACAGAACAAAGCATAAACGAACATCAGAATGTGTTGAAAGAAACAGCACAACTTAGTAAAACGTTTCATGTCTCATATTATCGCTCGTTGTTTCAACCACAGAAAGACGTCAATAAAAAATGTCACATAATATTACATTTACCTCAGAAACGCCAATCTCCGTAGCTCCATAATTAACAAGAAAATATGACTCTAGAGAGGAGCATTTTGCTAAATATATATATATGCTAAATATATTACATATTCATTATACTTTCACTATATAAATCTCTCATGAAAACAAGTTATTACCGTTTAAATGTTTAGATTTCAACTACAAATTAAAGTATAAAAATACCTATATAAATTGATGCCTTATGTGCAATTTAATTATTTTTATACAACGAACTCAGTATTTTTTTGAGTGTTTTTGTTATTCATTGATTACGAAAGTTTATTTTCAGTTTTGATTTTAGGATAAATGAAAAAACTTCAGTTTTGAGGTTTCGTAAAAAATTTTAAAAAAGTAACACTTTACAATAAGATTTCATTAGTTAATGTTAGTTAATGTAACAAACCACGAACAATGCATTTATTACAGTATTTATGAATCTTTGTTAATGTAAGCAAATGAAAATACAGTCATTCATTTTTAGTCCATGTTAATTCACGGTGCATTAACTAATATTAACAAGCACATCTTTTAATTTAATAATGCATTAGTAAATGTTGAAATTACCATTAACTAAGATTAATAAATGCTGTAGAAGTATTGTTCATTCTGATTTCATGTTAACTAAAGTACTTAATTAACCTTATTGTAAAGTGTTACCAAAAATAATAATGTTGGTGCATCAAAATATCAGGGTTCATTTAGCTTTATCTCCCACCATGCAAACCTTGCTTTGAATCATTAATTAGGTTTTTTTTTTAAATCCCTGATTTGTACAAAATTGGTCTTAAAACCTTTGAATCATTGAAAAATTGTAAAATGTAATTTATTATACACGCAGTGCACTGTGCTTCAGGAAATGTGACAAACCCCCCACAAGGCTGGCTTGAATCGTGTCTAATTCTGTCCCCAGATAACATTCAGGAGGTGACTCTTAAGAAGAGACTGAACGGTCTGGGCTTCAGCTTCTTCATCACAGAGCTGGACACGTCTCTCGACTCCGGCTCCATCGTGCGAATCAGAAAACTGTTCCCAGGTCAGCCTGCAGAGGAGAGCGGCAAGATTCGGGAAGGAGACGTCATTCTGTCCATTAACGGAGAGCCACTCAAGGGCTTGTCCTATCAGGTAACAGCGGAGCATTTCTTCATCCATTCCATCCATAGGAATATTACTAAACATGCAGTTTAAACAATGCAAAGGGCCAGGATCTGTTAAATACGGTGCAGTTATTCCGAATTGTATTAAATGAAAAGATGACTACTGTTAAACTTATATTTGGCCTGTGACCTCTGACCTCACAGCAAGTGCTGCAGTTACTGAGGAATTCTCCTTCAGAGGTGCAGCTGCTTCTCTGCCGTCCTGCTCAAGGTATCGAGAGAATGACCAACACGGACAATAGATTTAATATCATGTCATTTGGAAATGTTGATTAATTTGCCTTCTTTAAAAGTCTAAGATAGCATGGACTAAATCGGTTTTAATCTGAATAATAAATAAAACTTTTTTTAAAATATTTTTGCTCACAAAAGCTGCATTTATTTGATTAAAAAAAGATTAATGTTGTTAAATATTATTACAATTTAAAATAAGTGTTTTCTATGTGAATCTCTGTTAAACTGTAATGTATTTCTGTGATGCGCAGCTGTATTTCCAGCATCATTCCTCCAGTCTTCAGTGTCACATGATCTTCAGAAATCAGTATAATATGCTGGTGCTCAAGAAACATTTCTGATTATTATCAATGTTGAAATTGTTGAAACTGTGCTAAATAACACCATTCAAAGATTGATTTATTTTGTAATTAATACTTCTATTTATCAAGGACACATTAAATTGATCAAAAGTGACAGCAAAGACTTTTATAACGTTACAAATGATTTTCAAATAAATGCTTTGAACTTGAACGTTCTATTCATCAAAGAATCCAGACAACAATATATTTCTCAAGCAGCAAATCAGCATATTATACTGATTTCTGAAGAGCATGTGACACTGAAGACTGCAGTAATGATGCTGGAAATACAGCTGCGCATCACAGAAATACATTGCATTTTAAAATACATTCAAATATAGAACAGTTATTTAAAATTGAAATTATATTTTTGATCAAATAAATAGTCTTGTCCTGCATATTTAGAGACTTCTTTCCAAAAAATGTGTACAAATCTTCATCATGTCTTTACATTTTATATTTTTCAAATAAAATATTCAAACTGAACAACGTCGCTGACTGGTGTTTACAGTAACTTGGAATCATGTTTTATGTTGTTAAGGAACACTTCCACCTATATCAGAGAAAATAGGCCAACTGACCTGCAGCTGAACCATGAAAGATGAAATATGGGCATTTAATGAAGGTCTTCTCCTGGGAACGAAGGTCATAGAGGAATCCTGGTGCATTATGGGAGAGGATGGATCCTTCAGTGGGGTTAGACAACTCCAAACAGAGTTTTTGTACTTTTTTTCTACCGATTTCTATAACATTACAGATAGTCTTTCAAGGTGATTTTGGGTACATGCTCTCATGCTTGGCTTCTGCATTCAAGTCAGTGTTGCTTGATGCCATCCTCCAAATGTGCAGTCGTGACAGTGGCGTTACAGACATTCACACAGACACGTACAAACACAGCTTCTTAATGCTTTCTAGGGATAATCCTGAACTTGTAAAAGCAAGCTCAGCATGCACAGGATCTCACGCTTCATCTAGTCACACCTAGACCAAACATAGAATGTCAGCTAGACTTTACTATCATCAAGACACTCGTCTAGTTGATCTCAGTTGAATTTACTGAACTAAATGAGTATTGTTTGTGTCTACAGGTCCTCTGGAATACAGAGAAGCTGAGCATTGAGAGCAGAAGCTGACCGAGTGTTTGAAGTCTTACAGTGATCTGTGGTGCCAATCATTTCCTGCATTTTACTCGACTGGACAAAAGGGCAAGCGTAAGACCTTATTTTAGTGATGCACCCAAATTTCAGCAATTCAAACAATAATGCCACTCTGAATAAATCTGTCATGAAAACAAGTTATTACAGCCACCAACCATTAATTATATTATTAAAAAGTTCAAAAGCTTATGTGCCATGTACATGTTTGCATACAAGTCAAGAACACAAAAATGTTGAAATGTTCTATAAATGACTGAATTAATAAATGAATAAGCTTTATTTAACAGGGTCTATTTTTATTTCCAAACAGCTTGCTCAGGTTGTGTTGCACTGAGGCTCAGTTCCTGCAGTTCCAGGATGTGTCCACAAGGTGGCGTTACAGCTTCATAAACATTTAAACAAGTCTTTTTTGTTGTCTGTTATATTACTACATATATACTGAAGGCTGTATTAACTGATAAACTGTTTTAAACGTCTGTTGTTAGAAAAGTGTACAGATCTGAGCACTGAACAATGCCGATGGCAGCTCGCTGTGACCCACACATCTACCTTAATTGCAATTAAAAGTAAATATTATCATGGTGCCTTGCAGTCAAAATAAGATTTCACAACTTTTACAGATTTACAGATATGCCTGTTTCAATAATTGAAGTATGTACTGTATGTATTACAGCTTCAGCCTGTTCATTAACTGTGCAATAAAGACTGCAACGTTTCCAAATACATTTATTTATTTATTTATTTATTTACGTGCGTGCGTGCGTGCGTGCGTGCGTGCGTGCGTGCGTGTGTGTGTGTGTGTGTGTAGGATGGAACAATGAATTATAGGATGAACAATGGATAGAATGATAGAATGAATTAACAATACATAGAAAGAAGTAACAAATGATGAATAAAATGATAGAACTAAAGAATGAGAGATAAAAAGAACAAACAAATGATAGAAAGAACAAACAATAGAACAAGAATGGACAGCAGAACAAATGACAGACAGAAAGAAAGAATGAACCAACAACAGAATGAAAGAATAGATGATAGAAATACAAACAGATAAAATGAACGATGGGTAGAATGAAAGAATGGACAATAGAATGATAGATAGATAGATATAAAGATAACTGAACGATAGAAAAAATGGACGATAAATTGAACGAACAATAGAAGAATGAATGATATAAAGAAAAAATGGAAGACAGAATGAACAATGCATATAAAGGACAAACAATGGATAGAATAAAGAGAATGGATGACAGAATGAACAATGGACAGTAAGAGCGAACGAATGAACAATAGAAAGAATGCATAATAGAACAAACCACAAATAGAAAGAAAAAATGAACAATAGACTGAACGATAATAGTATATTATATAATAGTATAAATGAAGAGATGACAGAATGAACAATGGACAGTAAGAGCGAACGAATGAACAATAGAAAGAATGCATAATAGAACAAACCACAAATAGAAAGAAAAAATGAACAATAGACTGAACGATAATAGTATATTATATAATAGTATAAATGAAGAGATGACAGAATGAACAACAGAAAGAACAAATGATGGACAGAATGAAAGAATGGATGATAGAACGGACAATAGATTAAATGAAAAAAGAACAAAAGAATGGACGATAGAACAAACAATAGACAGGAAGAGAGAACAAATCAACAGTAGAAAGAATGGATGATAGAACAAACAGTAGATAGAAAAAAAAGAATGAACAATAGATAGAAAGAAGAACGAATGAACCAACAAATGATATAAAGAAAGAAAGAACAATAGAAAGAAAGAAAGGACAATAGAATGAACGATAGAAAGAAAGAAAGAAAGAATTGACAATATAATGAACGATAGAAAGAAAGAATTGACAATAGAATGAACGATAGAAAGAAAGAAAGAAAGAATTGACAATATAATGAAACAAACCACAAATAGAAAGAAAAAATGAACAATAGACTGAACGATAATAGTATATTATATAATAGTATAAATGAAGAGATGACAGAATGAACAACAGAAAGAACAAATTATGGACATAATGAAAGAATGGATGATAGAACGGACAATAGATTAAATGAAAAAAGAACAAAAGAATGGACGATAGAACAAACAATAGACAGGAAGAGAGAACAAATCAACAGTAGAAAGAATGGATGATAGAACAAACAGTAGATAGAAAAAAAAGAATGAACAATAGATAGAAAGAAGAACGAATGAACCAACAAATGATATAAAGAAAGAAAGAACAATAGAAAGAAAGAAAGGACAATAGAATGAACGATAGAAAGAAAGAAAAAATTTACAACAGAATGAACGATAGAAAGAAAGAATTGACAATAGAATGAACGATAGAAAGAAAGAAAAAATTTACAACAGAATGAACGATAGAAAGAAAGAATTGACAATAGAATGAACGATAGAAATAAAGAAAGAAAGAATTGACAATAGAATGAATGATAGATAGAAAGAATTGACAATAGAATGAACGATAGAAAGAAAGAAAGAAAGAAAGAAAGAAAGAAAGAAAGAAAGAAAGAAAGAAAGAAAGAAAGAAAGGACAATAGAATGAAGGATAGATGGATAAATGAGGATGGATGGATATTTTTCTTCATGTGGTGCACCTCGCCTTCATCCTGTCAGTGACTAAACTCTGCAAAGTATGTGCAAAGATACAAAGAAATGTCATATTGTGACTGAATTTAAGATTGAAAATCTGTGTGTTTCAAATACTGTGTAAAGTTAAAGGAAATCCGGCTTTTAAACACAGTGATCTGCTTTGTCCAGCTGTTCTCGAACGCAAGAGTGGTTCCATGTGAACGGCCCCTTACTCTTCAGGAACGCGAGGAACCACCTAGTTTAACGGTTCCGAGGCGCCGTGTTCCTGTGCTTTTACAGGGCTTACATGATGACACTGTGGGTTTGTTTTACATCCTCTATAACCTCGATATTCTGTAAGGTTTCCCACAGGAGACGCCGGTGAGCCAGAGGAATAAATCACTCTGCTGCATCTGTCAATGGCCGTTCATAAAATGGCTGCTGCTCCCAATAAACGTTCGAATTCATTTCCACACTGGGATGGTTTTGGGTGGCCTTAGATCTTTTAGTATGGATGCCCGTTTTTTATTGTGTGGAAACTGCAGAGCGCAAGCAGTGACTGTAGGGAGGAAGTGAAGCTAATTAGAGTTCACCTGGAACGAGAGCTGACCTTAACATCTGGACGAGACCGCACACATGTCTGCTATCAGCCACTGACCGCACAGTACTGACTGTGTGCAGCTGATCTGAGACCAGTTCTGCAGACTGAGCCCGAGTTATTTGCAGATATAGTCAATAAGAAGGATACAAAGTGAATGCCATCACAATCCACAAGAATCAGCAGTGTGATTAATAAAGAATCCCAATGGTGTCACAGAAAAACATTTCAGATACAGTCACTGCAAAAAATATTTTAAGCTATTAAGTCACACTTATGTATGAATTGCATTGCATTACATGACAAAACATTATAAAACCAAGTGAGACCTAACAACTTAAACTTGGTTTGATGTTTTTATCTAATTGCAG